GTCCATGTTAAACGTACTCAATGTCATGTTGTTCCAGACCCATAAGATTTTGGTTAGTCTTCAATACACAAATTAATATATATATATATATATTAGGGGTGTAACGATACACGTATTCGTATTGAACCGTTCGGTACGAGGCTTTCGGTTCGGTACGCATTACGATTCGTTGGAGTAATCCTATTACATTTGGGAAAAAAAGAGCTTAAAGTGTGTGAATGAAAATGTACTCCAGGTTGTGACGGTGAGGTAGTTCGTTAGAGTTTTCTGTCCCTCCAGTGAAAGTCTACTCATCCAAATCTCTTCATGCTTCAAGAAGTTCATGAAGAGATCATAAAAAAATACTTATGAATCGAACAGTTTAATCCAAGTCCTCGGAATATACATAATTGCTTTATATGATGTACAGATTTAAATTATGCTTTTATTCACGTTTACATTAATCAGCGAACTTAATCAGAAGCTTAACCATACTTGCTTGATGCATGAGAACAATTTGGAGTGGACTTTGAGATTTGTAACTTTCTAGATCTTTTTTGTGCCCAAACATACACACTACACACTGACTAAAATTTTAAAAGTGAAAAAGCATAATAGGACCCCTTTAATTTAGGCTTTTATTCACATATTTACATTAATCAGCGAACTTAATCAGAAGCTCAACCATACTTACTTGATGCATGAGAACAAACCTCACTGGTTCTTGCGGAAGCTCAAACATGATGCGTGACACGAGAATGAACCTCGTAGGTTCTCACTCGTCAGGCAAACATGCTTGAGCTTCCATTTACCAAAATTGGATGCTACAAACACTGTTTGCTAATCAATGTTTATATGTGAATAAAAGCCTTTAAATAAATCATAAGTATATCAAGTTCATCATATAAATTGATCATGTCTCTTCAGAAGACTTGGGTTGAACCACTCAATTCACATGGATAAACTTGCTGCGTGACACGAGAATGAACCTCGTTGGTTCTCACGTGTCAGGCAAACATGCTTGAGCTTCCATTTACCAAAATTGGATGCTACAAACACTGTTTGCTAATCAATGTTTATATGTGAATAAAAGCCTTTAAATAAATCATAAGTATATCAAGTTCATCATATAAATTGATCATGTCTCTTCAGAAGACTTGGGTTGAACCACTCAATTCACATGGATTTATTTTACAATCTCTTTATGAACTTTTTGAAGCATCAGTTTTGGGTGAATAGACTTTCAGTAGAGGGACAGAAATCTCTCAGATTTTAATTATATATAAATATAATAATATATAAATATTTTCATTTGTGGTTTGAAGACAAACAAAAGTTTTCTGATTTTCGAAACAACATGAGGGCGAGTAAATGATGAAAATGTTAATTTTCAGGTGAACTGACCCTTTAAGAATTACATGTGTGAGGAGTAATTATGCTCGACATAAAATTTTTAGGGGTTTAGTCCAGTTATTTGCTAGAGTATATCATGGCCCACTTTTATAAAAATAACACATCGACAGAACTTTAGAATGCCATCATGCTAGCAATGTCAAATCACCAAGAAAACAACTTTATTGAAACATGTTAATATGCTTAAACTAACATTAAAAATAAATAAATAAATTATATGCTTATTGTTTATCTTTCTAACAGAAGGATGAACTTGAGGGCCACACAAACCAAATAATGAAGGTGTTGGTGACGCATGATCCCCCAGCCATTGTTGTCACAAATTACATCAAATCACAGTTTTCTTATACTTGAAATGACAAAATGTGAGACTGCATCTGAGAATATTGTTGGGAAGCGTTTTATGTAACATGAGAGATATGAATTGTATTTCACTTGAAACTGATTGTATGTACATTAATTTATTTTAAATGTTTAAAGAAGAAATGTTTGTTATTTGGTCAATAAAAAGTAATTGATGCAATATCCTGTGTCTGACCATTTTTACATAAATTCAACCTTTCCTGAATAAATAATGGGTAATTATTCCTATTGGCTAATTATTATGAATAATAATTTAGTAGATGAACTGTTGCCTGCTAAAATAGAGTAAATGTTACTCAATATTTATAGGTAATTATTGTATAGTTTGTATTGAAAAATATTAGGTAGACTTTACCAAATTTTTTTTTAGTTTGGCATAGCTGTTAAATGTAGGTATTCTTTACTCAAATATATAGGATGGAATCTACCCAAACAAACTGAGTGCAAATTGTTGCCTCAATTTTATTGAGTAGATTCTATAGGTTGTTTTTTACAGTGCACATTCAATCGTCCGAGGCTTATTCTCTTCTTTTAAATGAAATGAATATAAATAAATTATGCGCTCACACATGATATGAAGCAAAGCAAAACATATATATTTAATATATTTAACAAAATATATTTAGAACCTTTTATATTTATATTTACATTATATTAATGATTTTTATATTGTACATTTTTATATTTTCATAAACATCATTTATTATAATTTATATTTTAAAAAGCTGTCATTCATTTAAACTATTACTACATATTTGGTTTGTGGGGACACTCCATATAGGCGTAAGGATTTTTTTACTGTACAAACTGTACACCTACCCCTCACACAAAAAATTCTGCATATGATTCCATTTTAATTAAATATTGTTTGCAAGCGATCTTAATTATGAGGACTCAAGAAATTTCATCATAATCCACATTTACATTGGTATAGCAGTGTAAAATACATCATTATACAAATGTGTTCTGATAAATCATTTAAACAAGCACGCACATACATAAACATTACAAGCTAAAAAGAGACTCATCTCTATTTTAAAAGAATACATAATTCTATATGACAGCATGTTACTATCATGTTACTTAAGCAAATCATTCATTTTAAACAAGTATTCAACATTTAAGTTTATTGAACTTATAAAACACATCATATTAACAAACATGTTACTAAAGCAAGCCATTTATCAAACATTTTAAACAAGTATTTTAAACAGAAATTTTTATTTTATTATTATTATTATTATTATTACTATTATTTATTTTTCACTAACCACGCATAAACGTTGCTTTCTCAAAAACACAAAAATGTACATTCATGCTGCTCACAAATCTTTGTAGCCCAGTTTGTGCTGAATACAGTATAATCAGACTTTAGCCATTTATATATTTTTAAGATACTGAAAAAACCCCACAAATGTCAGAGCATGTCAAAACTTCTCCATTTATCGGACTTATAAAACACACCATTCTCTTCTTTTAAAGAAGATGGTAATAAATATATAATTATATATGACAGCATGTAATACACATATTTAATACATTTAATGAGAGTTTCACAATTTGAGTTGAATTACTGAAATAAATGAACTTTTCCACGACATTCTAATTTATTGAGATGCACCTGTATTTATTAAGTTTATTGACGTTATAAAACATGTTACTAAAGCAAATAATTTATCATACATTTTAAACACATTTTCAACATTTATTTAAGTTTATTGAACGTATAAAACACATCAATCTTTTCTTTTAAAGATGTTAATTAATAAAATGTAATTATATATAACATACTATATAAAAATAAACATTTACAATAGTTTTAGGTGACAATAAAAATAGCTTACATTTTTCTGTGAACAATGATGTCCATTCTGTGAATTAAAGATTTACAAAAAAAAAATAAAAATGTTTAAGTTGAAATATACCAAAAACTTCTAGGTCCTCCAGGGATAAACTCCATAGCGAAATGGTTTGAATGCTTCAGGCCCACTCAGAGACGGGTGGAGTTACAGACCAGAAGATCTGAGATGTAGTCTGTTAACCCTTTTCCAGAGTGAACGTCTTGATCTTATAAATTTATTATTATTAAAGCATAATCTTAAGAGTGTAAATAAGATCTTTCAAAATTAAAAGATTGTTTAGATGAAATCTTAAAAGTTTTAAATAAAATTATATGCTTGCAAATTTCACCTAAATTGTGATGTTTTTTTAATTCAACATTATATGTTCAAAACTTAGCTTATCATTTTAAAAGAATTCTGTACTTAGTTTATTTTATTTCAAAACATATTCCTGCTTAAAAGGATAAATAAAAAGTGTCCATATCTTAGAGTATTCCTAGGGTGAACCTGCGATTAATATCTGATATCCTGTTGCTAAGATCTAGTTCTGCACTTATTGTTCTATATCAGACTTTTTTTGAACACTCTTTATCAATGTAATACATATCTGGGTGAAACATATATATATACTTGGAAATATATGTAGACAGACCATATGTTGATGTAACATCTTGCCTGATGTTCACACAAACAATATTTGAAGAGTGCATTTATGACTTTACCAGCTAGCCCTTTGCACACACATAACATTGCGGTTCATTTAAAATGTTTGTTCACACAACAACTTGTGGGACAAAAGGCTGGTACAGAGAAAATACATTCTTTGGATACCCACTGACTTTTTGGAGACGTAAACCGTGCTTGAATGAAACAACACATGTGAGGGACTTCTGGGGTCACAGGGGCTCCTGAGAATATTTAATTGCGTTTAAAAAGCACAGATCAAGCTAAATGAAATAGCGTACACCACACCAGACTTCTGATGTCCTGCGGTAGAAAATACCTACAGTATGTTGTTAAAACCGGTTTTGTCTTAAGTGAACTTGAACAGTTGGGTATGGTGCCTGGCAGGTGACATGTTCGGTTCACTTAGTTGTCATGGCCACGACATAATAACTTGTGGGAATGTGATAATATGTCGTGGCCACAAGATATTAATTTGAGGGAATGTCATATTAACTCGTGGGAACGTGATATTATGTCGTGGCCACGAGATCATTTTGTCGAGGTAACGACATCCTTATGTCGTGGCCTCGAGATGCTATGTTGAGGGAACGACATCCATTTCTCGTGGCCACGACTTTTTATGTTGAGGGAACCATAGACATAATAAATACCTAGACGCCTCATTGGCCACTGGATCGTACGTCAACGTCACCGCCATCTTGGTGCGGGCATCTTTTCCATCATTCTCATAAGTGGACTCGAGAAAATGCCTCAGTTGTGTGCTGCTTGGGGCTGTACAAACCGCAGCACAATTGAAAATAGGTCTCGGGGAATTACTTTTCACAGGTAAGACTGAAAATTTGTTGACTGAAACTGATCTGGTTGTATTTGGTCATTAAAACATTATGTTGACACAACTTGACAGTAATTGACCGTCGGAGTCAGACTATTAATAGCTAGCGATATCGCTATTTAGCTGCGAGTCTAGGAAACCAGAAATGTTACATTCTTTCTTATATAGTTTTAGCGTATGGTAAATTATATATCATAAACTAAATTGCCCGTAATCGAGATATTCATTTATATTGCTGTTTTTTTCTCAAAACTGACTCTAGTGCCGACCTACTCGTTTCGGCTAAGCAGCATGAATCTAATTTAACGTTAACCGTTAGTAGTTGGCTAGCTGACGTTAGCTAACTCTTCTCACACATTGAAGGTTTCCCAAAAACAAAGAGTTGAGGAGGCAGTGGGAAGTAGCTCTAAGAAGAGAAGGTTTTTCCGCAAGCGAGTCCTCCGTGCTATGCAATGAACACTTCAAGCCGGAGGACTTTGACAGGACAGGTCAAATTGTGAGGATTAGGGATGGAGCTAAACCATCGATCTTCAGCTTTCCCCCTCATCTACAAAGAGTATGTTTTATCGTCACTGGATTATAAGGATTTGATAGCTTGTCATTAAATAGTTAGTGACATATATTTAATATTTATTTTAGCCTGTGGCAACCAGGAAAACAGAGGCCTCAAGGAAAGCTGAGGAGAGCTGGTCAGTGGACTGTTCTCAGATTTTCCAAGAGATCGAACCTCCTCTGCCTAATGTTGTGAGTATTTGTACTAGTTAAGACTAGAACAACTGTGAGCATTATGGCTATGGTCATATTCAATCCTATCTGTTTCTCTCTGCCACTGTTTTCAGACACATTCGCATATACACCTGCACACATTGAATGATATACATGGGTCAAAGACCAGATGTCACCATTTTGTTGTCCGCATCAAATTACATTTACAAATGTCATTTTTAAATGCATAAAAACATCTTAAATGCAAGTAAATTGTCTACTTTCATATTTCAAATAACTTTTGAGACAATAAAATGTCAGTATCTTGATTTTGCCATATTGACAATACTGACATATTGACAAATATTTTCTTTTGAAGGTACCCGTCTGTCATGGGGTTCATCATCAACATTGATACCCTCATGTTGTTGATTCCTGAGCTGCTACAATTTCAGCGATATGTCTGCACCTATCAATTTAGCCAGGATCACTTGGAGCTCCTCTTCAATTCTATCAGGGCATCAGGTAAGGATTTCTGAAATTTGCAAATATATATAAAAAAATCATTTGAAAAGTGCAAATATCAGTATTAAATGCTTGATTAATTCAAATCCCGATTCAAACACCCATGCAGTCTTACTCCTAAATGCCTGCGGCTTTGTCTCACCCAAGCTCTACTGCCTTTCTTTGGATTACTATCCTGTTACTCCACAATCTGCTCGTTTACCTACCTGTTACTCCACAATCTGCTTGTTTACCTACCTGTTACTCCACAATCTGCACGTTTACCTACCTGTTACTCCACCGAGGCCAAGATATATATACAACTTTCTACATCTAATGATTTTTTAGTCTGATAAAAAAAGTCTTACACCTCTTGGGTGGCCTTAGGGTGTGTACATTATCAGCAAATTTTCATTTTTGGGTGAACTATTCCTTAAGTGTTGTGAATGCCATATTTTTATACAGAAAAACCGTAGCTCTCCCTGTTCGTTGCATTTGAACAGGGAGAAATAAAGTCAATTTTGATTTCATTACCTTTAACTAGGTAAAGCGATACACAAATTGAAAGGGGAAATAAGCATATATAACAATAAATATAAAAAGATATTCATACCTCCACAGACAACTGCATGTTGAAGTGGATTTGAAGATGACTTATTAATTTGACCAGTTTGGCTGGCTTAAACATGCTGGTCAAGCAGAAAATTGCTGGTAATTGCTGTAACACTGGTTGCACTGCTGAGGTAATGTCAACTCTCTGAATCTCTCTACAAGAGATGAAGCCACACACAATTATCTCAATGATGACAAATGGGATTAAAATAACTAAACTACAAGGTAATATTAACACACAAACAATGCATATAACAGAGGGAATTAAAGCAAACTATTTATTTTTATGAATAATAAACGTCTTCAAAACTTCACCACAAGGTCCATTTACAGCATGCATCCGAAAATAAATCGAAACATCCACAGAAAAAAGTTATATACTATAAAGTATCACAACAAATTCAAGTTTCAATATAATATAATAAAGCCAAGCACACATTAAGTACTTAATATACGGTAATTATTAAACATATGATAGCAAAAACATTACAGACTACTCACCGTGCTCTCACGTTGTCAATAACTCCGCCCTTCACTGCCGGTTCTGTGGCTGCGGTTCTGAAACTGTTGGTGTTGCGGGCAAAGAGTATAGAAGCCCAAAAGGCGAAACTCTGTAGTGATAAGGGCAACAGTCTATAGATGGCGCTGCGGAGGCGTTGCCTCCATTTTCCAAACAATTCCTGATAGATTTCCAAAAAATCCTGGAAAGTTTCCAAAGTTTCTGGAATGTTTCACTACATGTGACCCATCACTGTGATCCGATCAAGCAGAACAATCTAATCAATGGTGAAAAATATTGAACAGGGTGTCACTGTAAATGCTCGAGTCTAGTGATAAAAACCTCACCTAAAAATAAAATGGCATCATACCATGGGTAAATGTTGATATTTAACATCAGTATCAGGTGATCAAATGAACCTTAAATGTACAGTGAAACACTTTGGATAAAATATTCTGCATAAAAATTGTAAATGTAATTCAAACAGCAGGACTAAAAATAATAACGTTTTGTAGAACAATGCGTCATCTTATGTTGGAAAATAGCACAATTTAATGAAATACAAAGTAAAAATATAAAAAAATAAGATGATAAAAAGACCTCACCTTTTTCGAATACTGAAAGATCGATTAGAGAGCAGACAGACGGCTCCATATGATTTTGAATCACTCTTGCAGTATAGTGCAGTCATACACCGATCGTTCTGTGCAGGGGACCGTTCTTTGTACCTCTTAATACATCTGAGATGATTTGACAGATGCCAGATCTTTTAATCCTGATAACTGATCACTGGCTAATTTTGTTCTTCAAACAATTTAGTGGATTAAATTGAAATATCTGGATTAAGTTGTCTGAGATTACTCCGTGTTGACATGTTCATTGGAAAAGGCATGTATATCGATACTCAAAACCATGATTAGCAATGCAGTGATTGGCTGGCGGCAAGACAGCAATGTAATGGCATTGTATAATTAAAATCAAGAAAACAGCCCAGCAAGCAAAATTATTATTTCTTATTTCTTTATAAATTTTTTCCTTGGTTTAATAAGGTACTTTTGTAAGAAAGCAGCAGTGGCTGGGACAGACTTTCAGTATCACTTTCATTTAAAACAGTACAATCTAATCCTGTTTACATGAAATAAGATGCTCCCAAGCAGGTTTAAGCTAATGGACCTATTACTATGACATCAACTCCAGGATGAGCATTGAAGAACCTAACAATCCTGGATTATGTCAAATCATCAACAATAAAATCTGCATAATCCATGTATGAAGAATGGACCACACACCTTTTGCCTTTGTTTGTTTTGGTCATGTGCTCCTCTTGTCCTGCCTCCTCATTTTCTCTTGCCACACACCC